GACGAATTATATTACTGGTAAGCGTCTGTATGGATTGCACCAGCTGATTTAGTCTAAAACACGACATAGGACCGCATGAGATATATTCTAAGATGTTTGAACTAATTAAATCCATTGAAATGCGTTCTGCAAAAAAATGGATAAATGCGAGTTCCAATATTTTAATATAATCTAACACATTTTTATTTTGTGAGTGCGTTTACTTCCGCTCAAGAACTACAAACGTATTTGAAGGCGTTCCTATATCGGAAACGCGCTGTTGTCCAATCCGTTTTGCTGGAGTAAGAAAACGCGTTCCATCTGTTTTAGGTTGATAAATGACAACAGATAAGTCAACAGACAATTTAGATAAAGAAAAATTATTTCTCTATCTGGTCATCATAAATGTGACTGCTAGAAAATGCCCACTCTCAAGTTAAAACAACTGTCCGCGTGAACAAATAGAGAACGATTTGATGCATCAGATGGCTTCGGTTTTATACAAAAATTCAATGCTAACGCAGACTATTTGCTTCATAGAATTTAAACGGTTTAATAGTCTGAAAGTTCAAATTCAACCCTAAACCACTTTCAATAAGAATTCATGACTTACCATTGCATTCTTTTATTGTTACCAAAAGATAATGATATGATGTGTTTTATAAGAATTTGAGAAGAAGTTTGATACCTTTTTATTTAAGGGTACGCCCCCTCCTTTTTGTAAAAATTCGGATTTTGAGCTGAGCATAGCCTTATGTAGAGGAAAGTGTGGACTACAAAATAAGACTACTCTCAGTACTCCACGATCTTTTTTCAAAGAGTTATGGATTTTTGAAGTTTTTCCTTCAAAACCTAAAAAAACTCAATTTTTTAGTTTTATAATCTTTTCTCTCATTTTCTGTACATGCAAAAATTTTTCTCACACATAGTCTGATAGAGGACAGTGTTTTCTTCACAATGAGACGTTTTACAGAATTCTCTGATGAGTTTTTGCGAAGATATAAGCATCGCGGCAAATGCTCTTAAAAAGTGACCTATGTACAAAATGCGTTTTTTCTCGGAAACTTTTTTTTTGCTACCAGGCTTCATTGTGCCACATTAAGACTCCCCTTAAATTTCATCCAATCGAGTTCAAAATTTTAGCAGAGGTACTCAAGACACTACTGCAAAGGTAAGCTTTTTGAATTTTATTTCAGACTTTTCTTTATCGATTTATAGGGTTTTTAAAATTGAAAAACTTGGTTTTTGAAACGTTTTTCAGTATTTTTCCTATAATTCGACCAGGAAAGGTCTCAAAAAAATTTCCGAAAAATTACCTCTACGTAATGACCTTGAGTACCTCTGGCAAAACGTAATGTGGCGCAATGAAAAACCGGTGAACGGCAATAGTTAAAAACTTGAAACAAAAACGAAAAGTGTTCCATTGAGTTTCCAATCGGTTCTGAAAATGCAAAGCCTTAGCGACTTTTAGTTTTTATTTCACAGCATTTCTACGGAAAGCCCAAAAGGAGGGGAGGGATACCGTTAATTTTTGTCAAAATTTACTGGTTAACGCTGATTATCTTACAGAGAGATACCTCTGTTCAGTAGCTTGTTGATTAATTCTCAACGTCATCTATACTCGCACTATCTATTGACCAGTAAAAGAGGGCCAATTAGAAACGAGAAAAACTAACCAACCGCTATTATTGTATAGAAAAAAAATATATGAAATTTAATATAAATGAAAAGTTTTTTGAATTTACATTAAATAAGTGTTAAACGAAACGAAAATTACTATGGCATCCGTTTCATGAGTGTACAGTATGGTGCATACAAGTGCACAAAGAAAAACCCAAAAATATACAACCAAAAACGAAACACAGTGGTTTCGATTCATATCATTCAAAAAAGTGGAAAAAAGCTCTCTTCTTAGTCAAATATCCAACGTACATTTATTGACAAGTACAACTCACAGGCCATCGTATTTTCTAATCGTTTAATCCGAACGTTGTAAGTCGATAAACTTCCTTTCAAAACGCGAACAATAGCTCAGGAAGGGAGCGATTGCTAATCCCTCACAAAACTGCAGAGGCTGAGCATGAATGAAGGTGGCAGTTGTATCTTGCTGACGCTCCTAGGAATATAAATATCCCAGTCAATATTTCACAGCAAAATCACTAAAGCATTGGTGTTAAAAAATTTCGTTTTTTCAACGAAAGTTCATAGTAGTTCTACAGGATAGTTCGTAAGCAGTTCGAGTTTTCAGCTTTTTGAATCCTTCTGTTTTCTATCAGGTATGAATGAAATGTGAGAGTAAGGATGGGCAATTTAGTTTTTCTTAATGACTGATTAGTTAGTTCTGTTATCCTCAGCATGCACAATTTAATTCATTACGAACCCTCTACAACATTCCCAAAACAAACCAAGAAAATTCTCTTCTGTAATGGTAAGACTTTCTGAATGGTCTATCAGATAATGAAAAAATAGATTTGCGTCCTAATATCGCTGCGCCCTAATGTATTGCGTTCAACTGTCGTTCGCGTGCCCAAGCGTCTGTCTGTTAATCGTTTTGATCGTTACTTTTTTCTAAAAAAAAGAATGTTCATAGTACAGTAGATTTCTTTGATCTTTACGATAACATAGATAAAGGTGTTTGTTTCATATATTGTAAATGTTAACGATACGGTTGATAGAATGAAATCTCTCTGATTTAAGTTGAAGTTAGTATTTTGTGGTGGTTTCGGTTGTGGTTTCTCTATTACTCTGTTTTTGCTATTAAACATAATTTTTCTCAATTTGTTCCTTCAAAAGAAATGTATAATGTGGAGACATTTTTCCGTGTTTCTTCATTAAACTTCAAAACAACATATTGCGATTTCTTCAAGATAAGGACAAAAACAAAAATACGTTGTCGAGGAGAAGGTGATAAAGAATAAAAAGCTACTTTTTGCAAGAAGTTTTGAAAGAGAAAGCGATTCTATTTCTTATTTAATTTTTTGTCTATGCTTTCAGTAGAAGAGTTTGGATTGTTATTGACTTTTACTGAATTTGCATTAAGTCCTAATACGTCACCTGTGTAGACGCCGCGTCGCTAAAAGCCATGCTCTGAATCCGTTATCTGATTTATTCTCAAAACCCTCTTGCTGCATCTGTAGTTGCTTTGTATAACAAAATAAATGAAAACATCTAAAAACTTTGATTATTCTTCGTCTTGTTGCTTGCTGAAATTGTGAGTTATTCTATTTTAAAATAATTCTTATTTTCGAGTACAATGAAAGTAAAAAATCGGCTACTTTATAATTTGTTTCTTTTATATAGTTACATAACGTGTAAAAAATACTTGACATGGGAAACGAAAAAAAAAATGGAGGCTTTTAACAGTTTGGACTTTTTTAAAAATAGAATTATATTTGTAATTTGCAATAGGGGTGCTACTTTACTTTTACTAATTATTACATTATCTGGTAAAAGTAAAAAGCGTTTGTACTTATTATTGGTAAAAAGGTAATAGGTCTTGTTGTTTTATTACTTATTACTTCTTTATGTAATAATTTTTCATTATTTGACTTATTACTTTTTATTACTTTTCTGCTTATTAATAATAAAAAGTAAGTAAAGTAATAAAAGATTATTACTGTGGAAAGCAATAAGTAATAAAACAACAAGATTTACTTGTTTCTTGGTAATAACTAATACGTTTCATTACTTATCACTTGGTAAAGAACAGTAAAGTGACACCCCTAATCTGCAAATAAAAATAAATCGACTGGAATGCTATCCTATGGTTTAGCCAGTTTAGTCCAGTTAGTCTAGAAAAAACTCAAAATATTAAAAATCGACAGATAAAAGTCACACTGCTAGATGCTCGTTCTCATATGTGTTGAAATAGAGCACCCTTTTTTGATATCTAACCAGGGTTAAAGACGATTTTATAACTTCTTTTAAAATAGTTCAGAATTTTGCATTTTTTAGTTATCTAGTAAACAAGAACTTCAGGGACCGTATGTACTTTGATTTCGTCTATTAAATGTATTATTTTGTTCAGCAAACTATTCTCAGTCGAATGAAGCACTCCCCGAAGAAATCTATCAAGTATTTATAGAAATAGTAACAAAATACTCCCAAGGAAAAACGACCCAATTTTTTGCTTGAGGTAGACAGTGTGCTTTCTTAGACTATCGTCAGCTAGGGTAAGGACCATCTCTTGAGATCTATAAGAGTCGACAGGATAAAACGAATCGTTTCTAACTTATTTAAGATGACTTATTCTCTAGTATAATTATTTTGTTCTTTGTTTGAACTGTAGAATCGTCGGATGTCGAAGAAAAGGTAGATATCTTAAAATCGTTGAAAAAAACACATTCGACTCTCTCAAATTCTAAAAATAATCAAGCTATCGTTTCAACAATTGAAAAAATATATAGTAGCCAAGACAAAATGTAAGTTTAGAGATCAAATTGATGCATAACAGGGCCGAAAATGTGTCTTGTTCTTTGTCCAGGGCCAGCAATAAAGTAAATAATGTGCCGTCTTGTGGTAAGTATTAGCCAATTTGTTAGCTAAAAATGAATGTGGTAGCTACATTAGTTTTGATCTATTACTACTATCATCATCACAAATTGAGTGAGGAATAGTAATCGATCTTCGATATAAAGATGAACAAGTTCAGGTTCAAACGTGTAGAAATTTTTGACGGACTTAAACTTCTAAGCAAGTAAAGCGCTTTTTTCTCTCTGCAATAACGAAGATAATAACGAAAAACTTTATCACAGTAAGAAAGTTTACATGATTAAATATATATCTTTTTCCGCATGTTTCATTCTTGGTATAGACATTGACGATAATGCCGAATTTGTCGATGATAATAGTTTCAAAGTATGACCACAATAGCCATCCTTTCTAAGGAACAGTATAGCAAATGCTACGATCGTTATATTTTTGTATTTAAGGGGGTGCCAATCGAAAATATTTCGAATCTTCTAAAGACTGCATCAAGTTTAGATGACATGAAACACATAAACGATGAATCTCATACATTCATGATAAAGGTAAATATATATCATTTGTCAACTGTTTAGCATTGTTCATCTGATTAGACTGTTTTATTTTAGCCATATAAACATAATAAAAATGATCCAGAGCCGAGGAACACACGTTATGTGGACAAATGGGATTATAAACATGTGAGAATGCCTTGCTCGCCAAAAAATATCAAAGTAATTGATGATGATAGTGAAAGAAAAGGAAAAGAAATAATGTTTATTTTTTTTAGAGAGATGGCACACCACGTTGGCCTATTATATGTTTTGAATTAACCAAATTACAAAGTCTATGTGAAATAAAATCTGTAAAAGCGAAAGATATTCAGGTATGGTTCTTCTACTTTTTCGTTCGTTCTAGTCTACTTTTTAAGAACTTTTCTATGAAATATTGTTGTTTTTTATTATCTTGTCAATCAAGGCATTCGTTTCTTTTATTTAGAACGCCATTGAACGTTGTACGGGTCGTGATTGGGAAATTCGATGTCTTGAGTACCTTTTGGATCATGTATGTATGTATATGCGAATTAAATGATATTCTGTCAGTCTCATTAAATCGTTATTAGTCTTACTTATGTTGTAGATTTACTCAGAAGATGATAAAAATCATTTTTTATTTACTGTTTTGCCCAATATAATTAGATTGGTATTAAATGTTGATAACATTTGTGGCCAAGTAAGCATTGATAAAAGAAAACGATCACGTGTTTACATGTTTTATTTTGTTAGCCACCTCCATTATTGAAAATTGGTTCAAATCAAACAGTAACAATGTCACAATTACAATGTGCATCATTATTATCGTGTGCATTTTTTTGTCTATTTCCCCGACGTCAAGAACAACATGGAACCGAATATGAAAGATATCAGAATCCAAATTTCAATACGTACGTCGATTATATATGGTCAACTAAGAATTTTTGATCTGTATTGAAATTTTATTTTGTTTTTAGCATGTTTTTTGGTTCTCGTCATGGTCCAAGTTCAACGAAATTAGAAAAATTAAGATCACTTTTACATTATTTTACTCGTATTACAGAACTAAGTGAGATGCATCTTACTAGTTCAATGTACTCTCTTCATTCATCATCATCATTATTCATATTCTAGTGCCTGTTGGTGTCTTATCGTTTAGTCGCTATTGTCTACCGGAAAATGGCATACCAGACTGGAATAAATCAAAAAATACAATGTGCAAATTACATTTAACGAAAAATAAATCTATCGAAGATATGCATGGATTCATTCAAGTATTCTCATTTATTCAAATAGATCTATCTGATCTGAACGTGTGTGTTCATTTCAAAGGTCGATTTTGCAAATGAATACATTGGCGGTGGTGTTATGGATAACGGATGTGTTCAGGAAGAAATACGTTTTATTATATATCCAGAAATGCTCATTTCATTATTACTATGTGAAGTTATGGCTGATCGAGAATGTATATCTTTTATTGGTATGTTAAAAATTCATGTAGTCATATGAATTTTTGATCCAATGTCTATCTTTTATGGTTAGGTTGTGAACGTTTCAGTTCTTATAAAGGCTATTCGACAACGTACGAATGGAATGGTACTTATAATGATACAACATCGAGGTATCTTTTAGACATGTGTGAAATTATACGTCTAAAAACGATTTGAATTTACGTTTCGCTTTCAAGGGATAATTGGGGACGTCGTTTATGTCATGTTGTGGCAATAGACGCCATACGTTTTAGTGATCCAAGAGAACAATGGAAGGAAAAATGGTGTCGTCGAGAATTATTAAAAGCCTATGCAGGTTTTCGAGTTTCTGATATGGAAAAACATATACTTAATGGTAATTAGTTCAGTTTTCTATGATATATTTGAGCGTTGTACATGTTATTTTTTATATTTTCAGGAAATATAGTGGGTATAGCTACTGGAAATTGGGGTTGTGGCGCATTTCGTGGCGATAAACAACTGAAAGGTAGAAAGCAGAATCGTCAGTCGAAGATTTTGTGTTTTTATTTTTTTCCATTTGTTTTTAGCCCTAATTCAGTTGATGGCTGCATCGCAAGCTGAACGTCCATTGATTTATTGTACACGTTCTGATAGTAATTTTTTAAATAAGTTCGGTCTGCTATATGATTGTTTAACGCGGAATAATGTAGAAGTGAATGATTTATTCAAATATTTGATTGAATATTCAAACGGTGTTAGGGATAAAGATCTATTCGATCATATATTACTTAAAGTACCAGTGATTCAATAAGCAAGTTTATAATAGAAAAAGACCAATAAAATAACCTAACATCGACAAGGCAAATACTATTATTGATTCATCAACAAAATGAGCGGAGAAAAATGAAGATGGTCATATTTTGAAAAATGATACAATACTTTCGCTAGAAAGGTCAAACAATGACGCTTGTTTTGATCAATAAATAAAATTAACTCATTTTTTTCTTAGAAAAAAGCTAATTTATGTATTTGTGTGCTTTTTATTCTGTGTCATATCTGTGATTTATTTATTTATTTTTACTATTTTTTTATGTGTTTATCTAGTTTAAGAAGCATAAAATGGTAAGACAAACCTGTTTTATTCAAGAGTATTAGCTCTATTTTCTTATGTTTGTGTGTGCATGTGTATGCTATGACAGTAATATGATGTTTTATGAATAAATGTACACATTTTTGCTCATCAATATTTGATAAATATATTCCAGAGAATGATAATTGTGATGTTTTAAATAAAATAAAATATCACTTTGTAAGAGAAATGATCCGAAACATATGTTCTTTCTAAGTGCAATGGCGAGGTATGAACGTGACTTGAATACTCCAGTGGTGCCACTTACAAAGCGTTTATTTCGTTAGCACTAGATTATGCTGATATAGTCTATTCTTGGATCTCATATATTTATCAATTTACCGCTCAAAAACAACGTATCCCTCCCCCCCACCACCTGTGCTAGAGATCATTTATTTAAAGAGAAAATAATCTCTTAGCATGAACACGAGATTAAATCTTTACTTTTAACAAAATAGAAAGAAAAATCAACAAAAAACGTTGGCTGACTAATACCGAAGTAAAACTAATTAAGATTTATGTAATAATTGACACATTTGGTTGTTTTTTTCTGTAAATGGATAATCAGTACCTGGATATTTTAGTGTTCGATTTCCGAACCATCTATAAGATTTTGTTCGTTTTATCGAATAGAAGTTTTCAATATTATCACTGGCAGAAGAAAAAAAAGAAAAAGAGATTGAATATTTAGTATTACAGTTTATCATTTCGTCATTTCAAATTACTTACTGCACTTGAGTCGGTTGAATAGCCATTTGCATACACACACGAATTGGACTATCCGAGTAATCAACATCTGTTGTATAATCTACGATTGTATTTGTACTTAGTGTTGAATTAATTCCAGTTGTTATAAAATCAGATAATATATCAATATGACTTCTAACACTAAAACCCGTACTAGAATGAAACACAAAATTTTTATTAAAATTATTTAAATTTTTTTTTTTGAAAAATCACTTACCTCACTCTTATTACCGAATGTGAATTTTTATTCCAGAGACTAATTGATGCCATACCGGATAAATCTAATGATACAGCGCTTTGTGCTTCATAATGAACAATCACACCGTTGTGAAGATGAATGTAACGTGATAAATCATGTATCATTAAATTACTCTAAATATTAAGATTATTTATATATTATTATGTTTATTTGTCCTTTCAAGATGGATTTTGATCGGTCGTTATTTCATTATTCTGAAATAATCGAAATAACGACCGACTTAACTCTATTTTGAAATGCTTCCTTACTCTAAAGGCCGATGTTAATTCTGATGGTGCACTCCATACAGCACCCATTAATCCTGTGACACCACTAAACAATTCAACAGGTCTCAATTGTGTATTTAATATATTTATTCTTAATTGTGCATGTAATTCTTCATCTTTTGCGTTTTGATCTGACTCATCAACATCATCTGTTATATACGATTCTAAACCTTGAGCACTAACACCAAACTTAAAATAAGAGACAATGAATTATAATATGATGATATCTAATTATTTCTTACTGAAAGTAATTCATAATCATCTTGTGCATCATATTGTTGAATATTAACAGTAAAATCACTTTCTTTTAAAGCACCCACTTTACTCATTAGTTGTGATACCGTATAATAGACACCAAAACCATACGTTGTTAACAATGTTCGACGATAATAATCTGATTGACCTTTGTATGCTAATGAGTCAAAACTGAATACAACCATTTGTTGATTAATAATAAATTTTAATTTTCTTCTAAAATATGAAACATATGAGATTTTTTTCAATTATCATTTTTATCAATAAAATAAAATTATTAAACTTACGCTAATAATTCATCATTTTGAGTCATTGTGTCGATCACACGCCACATATAAAGACCTAACTGATGATTACTTTTATCTAATGTACTTAAAATTATATTAAGGAAATCTGGTACTGAAATATCAGTTTTTAATAAAATTAATCCGGCTAATTGACGAATTTGAATGCCATATGTTCGTTTATTATGTTCATGATACAATGAACGAATCAAACTGATCACCTGTCAAAATAGAAAAAATTGATAGTGATTTATTTTGTTTAAATGAAAATTTCAGTAATTAGAAATCGACATTATTTACTACAATTATAATGAAAATTTCAGTAATTAGAAATCGACATTATTTACTACAATTATAATGAAAATACCTCTGTTGATAATGTTTTACAATCGAGTTGAGTTAATGCACTCAATGCTAACCAACATAGATCTGTTTCTGAACATGATTTAATTTCATTAATTAAAATATTTTGATATAAATCAATTTTTGCATTGTATAATGATAAATAGACAAGACGTTTGGCATTCTTTGTTTTTGAATGTTCTTTTAATGAATTTTGGATAAATTTTGTAAAATTGTCAATTATCTATAAACAATGGTGAAAAAGTTAAATATAATTTTAAACAGATAATTTAGTATTATGACATACCAAAGATTTCTTATTAGAATGATAGATTTTATGTACAATAGCTCCTAATGTTAAATATGTACTGGTTTCAATTTGATAATCTGAATTTTTTGATCGATTCTAAAAATAGAAAAAAATAAGAGTTTAAACTTGTAGTATCATTCATTTTACTACCATTAATTGTTCAAAAAGTAATTCAGACGGTCTTGGTGTAAATGCGGCTGCCATTAGAAAACATTCAATTAATTCTTTATTTTTGCTTTTATCATTATCTAAATGTTTGAGTACAACATTTATTGATGATTGAGTTTGACCTGCTATGTAAGCTTCAATAAGTGTAAATCTAAAATGAGAAATATTATAATTAAATGATTATTATATAAAAAGATATTATTATACTTTATTGAATTTGTTGCATTATTTAATGTATTTGCAAGCGTTCGCTCATTTTGTCGTCGTATGAGCGAAATCAATTGTAAAAATGTTGTGCCTGTTGTACGATTTCCCAACGATTTTCGATGTAAATATTGTTCATGATCTTTGATAAATTCATCGAACTGAAATAAAAAAACTTTATCAAAATTAACAAGACTATTAAACAGTAAAACTTAAAATAAATATTAAGTTAAAAACATTGAAGATATACATTTTTGTACTATTATAAAATATTAAAAAATCAAATACCTTTTCACAATAGTCATCACAAGGATGTATCTGTTTTTCTGTTTCTAACGGATGATATTGATCTGGTGTGATGCCTGATACATAAACAAATATAGTGAATCTTTATAACGATAGATAGCTGGACATTATCGTCTTACTCAGTATTGTTTTTAAAGCACCACCCATAGTAGAAAAAATCTGATGTTTATCGTTAGATACTTTTTCTATTAGATAAATACTTAATCTAAATAAGAAAAAATATGAACAATTAACATCAATTATTAGTTATTTTTAGATCTATTTGTACCTTGACATAACTCGAAATCCGGCTACTTGTGGAACATTTAATTTTGGAAATGCAAGATCTGAACAGGAACATGTTTTTAATGTACTATTTTCAAATGTATAAACACATGTTGATTGAAAATCAAGTGTATAATTTAGAACCTAGAAATTAAATGATTTTTAATATTATCAAAGGCGGTTAGATAATAGTAGTCTACAGACAGTTTTCAAACTTGTATATTCGTCATTGTACTGGATATTTGTACAATAATATTTATCTTTTACTAAATGATCATCGAATACACGATATTCTGTTGCACATCGTCCCAATGTATCGACCTTCAATTAAAAAAAAAATATTAAAAAACGTATAGAATATTAGAAAGTAACTCGTTAATTTTGAACTAGAAACAATAACCTCTGATGTATTATCTTGTTTGTATTGAAATAAACTCATTATGCCTTTTTTAAAATTAATTGAGGCAAGATCATCATTTTCATTAAAATAAACTTGTGTAATTGTTCCCGATTCCCATAGAGCCATGGCTGGATATCGAATTAACGTATTTAATGCTACACAATCAATCATACTATGTGAATTTGTTGTATTCAAAAATCGAGGCTCTTTTAACTAAAATAGATAAAAAATAATTTTATTTTATTAATTCTATTTGTTATTCATACCTCAATTCTTAATAAATGTTTATCATTATTTTCTGTTTTCCATAAACTTGTTACATTTAAACGTGCATAAAGATGAAATGATGCATCAGAATTTCGTTTATGTCGAGTTTCTTCTGATCCTGCCCATATTTTATGATCCATATGAACATCTGTTGAATAATGATAAAGATAATCAACATTCGATTTAAATCGAAAATCACTTTCATTAAATCCTATAAGATATAAAAACACAATAAACATTTGTAAAAACCAATTCTAATTATCAAAGATTTATACTACTGAGAACAATACTTCTTTATATTAATAAACTATGACAAGAATTTTTTTTCTTGTCGCACTCCAGTTGTTTAAAATTAGTTATAAAATATTTAATGTCTGTCTCATTTAGAAAAAAGTAATAAAACAAAAATTTAATATGCTGTACCTTCTGTATGTTTGACAATGGCATAAAAACAGTTCATCATGAAGAATAAAACCTGGTATATAATCATTATATTTCGATCTAATTTAGTCAAAATTTTTATAAAAATGAAAATATGTCGGTTAATAAAAACAATCTGCTATTTTCTTTCTTGATGCTTCTTTGGCAATCACGTTCAGGCCAAACCTATGTGAATAAGTGATTGTACGTATTAAGAACAATATGATATTGAGTAGAGAACGTTCGTTGTTTTTATCCACTCTTAGTGTATATCTACGAGTGTGGAGAGTTTTTTCTTTCCGTAGATGTTTTTCTTCTTTTTTTTATGATAATATATTCATCGTACATTTATTATTTAGTTGGTATAGTATGAAGAATAATTTCAACTGACATAGAATATCACAGAGAAGATATGCATAGATCAGCTGGAAGAGAACAAATAAAAAAAACGGATGAGTATATAGTAATAGAACGATATCCACAAATCAAATCAGCATAATTGGTCGGGCAGATACATGAGGAAAATTTTCTTCTTCAATATACGAAACTTTTCAGTAGATATACGAACGATACCTAAGACGAAGAAAGAAAAAATTCTTGTCTCGAAATCATGGATATTGAATAAACAAGTTAGAGCTAGTATAGTCTTATCAGTACTTTGAACAACAAATTATCAAATAAATAATATATGTTCACCACTTTTATCCATTTCATTCGTTGATAAAAGAAAAAAATGCCGTTTTGATTTAAAATTAATCTAAATACATTGATCAAAGCAGCAATGACGTAGCTTCGGGTTTTTTTTAACTTCTGGACCCAGAGAGCTACGAAAAATTGTTGGATCTTGAGCTTTTCCTTCAATATCAGTTTCTTATTAGTGATTATTCAATTTCATGGTTTACCATTGCAGAAAAACATGATGGTGCCGCTTTTTCATAGTAAGAATCAAAAAAAGACTTCGATATTTTCAAAGTCGTCGCCGAAATCGAAATTGAAATCAAATAGCAAAATTTTGAGATGAATTTTTGGACACCAAAGTTTTCTCAAGCGATGAAAAATTAAGAAGAATTTGATCTTCTGATGATGGTTTTATTATCCGAAAACAGATAGAATCTGAATAAATTTGTTTTACAATCACCTTTTTGTTACAGATAGAGAATTTTGACAATGAAATTGTTTTTTTTCTAGGTACGTCACCGAATTATTTCCACGGTGTTCTATCTGTATTTTATCAACTTGGTTAGGAGAAAAGTTTCACAAGAGGAGTCTCGAGGACTGTGCATGTAGTAAAAACTAATTTAAGTTTCCAAGGTTCTGTGCTAGAAAGGCAGTTCTAAAAGAAATTTATTCAATAAAACAATGACGAGTTTAAAATATTGTGAAGCAAATTCTTTATTTTATTACTTAAAATCTAAACTCAAATCATCTGCCTTCTTTCTTAGAAATCCTCTTTGATTCTTGCATTTGATTGTTGCACAACTCTTATCTGTTATTTATGATAATGTTAGAAACAGATAGAGACATACAAAAAACTCTGTAACCCATTTCTCCGACTTTTCTGGCGTTGAATTGTTCTTTGAACACGTTTATAAATTTTGAAATCGAGTAGTTTCGATTGATCACAGTCGGATCGTGTCGACTACTGACGTATAATCAGAGGATCTAAAGATGAAATAACAAATATATTATATCAACAGGAATTTTTATTTTGCGTTCTCATTCGATTTTCTGCAGGAAAAAGTTTGACTACAATCGGAATGGAAAAAGAAAAGAGCTTTGGACCAAACACTCAAAAATAAAAGAAAAATGTTTCTATTAAACCAAATCTTAGATTCTTATTGTAGCTGTGCCACTGTGTCAAAACATTACTTTTGCTTGAATATTTAAAATTAATTTATCATATAGAGTACAAATCGCATAAAATGTATGGTGTTCACTCAACCGTGTGGAAATTCAAAAGTATAAAAAGAATATTTCTTACTTTGTCTCATAGAAAAAATACGTCTATATCATTATAGGCTTTTTGATAAGGTAGAGAGTTTATCAGTTGGTAAGATGGTTACATTACTAGCCATAATAAAATATGTTCTATTTTGATCAAATTTTTGTTTTTTGTTTTTAAACTCTAACGAACAAATAGATAATTGTATTATGGTTTAATAAAAAATTTTAAAAATTATATGAAATTCTTTAAGTAAAGAATAAATTAAATTAATAGTTTAATAGTTGCATCTGACATGGTAGCAAGAAAGTGACCTATATACTTGTGTGTATTTTATTTCAAGTGTGTAAACTCAGTAAAATTGTCAGTTGAAAAAGAGTAGAAGTAAAATTGTCATAGAATAAATTTAAATAATATGCTGAATTGCAGCTAGTCATAATATTTTATGAACTTTTGAAAGTAAATAATTTGTTTTTAGTTTTTATTGCCATAAATGTTGGCAAGAAAAAATTTTTTTTTTTCTTTTACATTCGGGTCTTGAGTATTCTTTTTGTTTACTAGTTGTGTGCGTTCTTTCTTCTTTTTTTTTCCATCCAAAGAATTGATGATAGATTTTTTTTCGCCTTTTGTAAGAGACGATACGTCGCTCCAAACTACGATGAAGAATTATTTTTCTGTAAATTTAAGGAGCATAGGACGAAGAGAAAGAAGAAAAAAGAAAGAATAAAATATAGTTCCATTGCATTTGCTGTTCCCAATCTGGTTTAGAAGAAGTGGATACCTTGATTCTTTTTTTTTTGTTGTGTGTTGTTGCAGAATGCCATTAGAACTAAACTCTGTTGTACGTATATTTCAACATTATTATTGAGAATGAATTTTATCGAATTCAACAGTCTTAATGTGAATTATATGCAAAATAAAAGGTAAAGTTTTCACCATTTTTGACAAAAAATTTGATTAAGTTCTTGTATAAATTATTCTCTTTTTTTCAAATGTTCATATCTTAATGTTTACAATTCGTTAAAAAAACATTATTTTCAATTCTTTTATTTATTGTAGGTTTACCAATGGTTACAATCGTGTACATAGCACTCCATTATTTTATTACATATTTACGTTACTTTGTATTAGGGTTTTGCGTGACAATTATTAGTATATTATTTAGTTGGTCTCATGGTATCCCGACAAAAAAAATCTATGAATATCGTTCTGTACTACCGATTTCATATGGAAATGAAATATTAACAAAATATCGTATTAATTTAACTCAAAAAGATCATCTACCGTTAACAATTCGAAATATTTCTCTCATATTGCCATCAGTAAAACTAAAAATTGCAGTAGTAACTGCTATTTATAACGATCCGTATGTCAATGGTGTCCGAGTACTTGGCTATAGTTTAAAAAAATTTCGAACAAATGCTGATTTAATTTTAACATATATTCCTGGTAGAGTATCGAATGCAACATTAGAAAAATGTGAAGAAATGGGGTGGCATTTAATGCCTGTTGATCGAATACCTCCGCCAACATTTGCGATTGTTTATCCCCGGTTTAAAGATCAATTCACAAAATTACGCATATGGTCAATGACAGATTATGATCGAATATTGTATTTGGATGGTGATACACTAGTCGTTAGTGATATTAATGAATTATTTCGTTTAACAGCTAAAAATGATTGGGAAGGTTTTCTATCGGTTTTAGACACATGGCAAGGACAAATAGGACCAAATTTTAATGCTGGTGTATTATTAATAAAACCAAATATAACTCTATTTAACGAAATGATGAATAAAATTCATATGATGCCTCAATATGGAACGTACTGGGCTGAACAAGGCTTTCTGAATTGGTTTTTCAAAGCAAGGCAAGTATTTTCTACTATAATGTGTAAATGAATTTATTCTTTTTTTTCATTCTAGTACCGGCAGATTACCATTAACATACAATTTTAACAGCGTATTAGCACTATATCATAAAGATATCTATAATCAGCTTAATAAAAGTAAAAAAATTATACATTATACAGCATTTAAACCATTTACAATCAAAGATGTCAACGAGATAGATTCAGTATATGTTGACTTATGGAAAGAATGGAAACAAATGGAAGAAGAAATGAATGAAAATGTAAAATTGAATAACACTGATTCTGCATCTTAGGACTAACAGGAGTTTAATGGTAAAAATGCAATTATATCGACCAGTCATAAACGTCGTCTGATATACAAACATTCCAAGATATTATAGCCTTTATACAATTTGTTGAGTAAGATTGAATGAAGAAAGATAAAAACTTACAATATTGCTTGTAGACAAACGTATGAAAAATCGAGTTCACTGCACCACCACCAAGTGATGTTCCTTATTACTCTTTTGAAAGAGTAGGTTACCATTCAAAGAATACACAACGAAAATTTTAATTTCGTTGTTTAACAGATGGATATGAATTATCGAACTATCTTTCTCATATTTACAATCGAGTACAGCTCTCCGATGGCATCGATTTTCTATTGACCAACATCTTTCTCAAAAATTCTTATTACGTGCAATATAAGTGGAGGAATTTTGCAAATACTATTCAATTTGTTACACACAAACCATTACATTTACTTCTTTTCTAACTTTTAACTGTCTTCAGATCAAATCAATTCGTTCAGTTTTGCTCAACTGCTCATGATAAATATTTTTCTGTATGATTTTTTTCTAACAGTTAATCAGCAAGTATCGAATCTTTATAAATTTTCAAGCCAAAAAGAAACTATGAGTTTTTTATTTTAAGTTTTTATTGTTTAATAGCAAGCTTATGCAATAATGATTTTCGTCGTTTAAAAATGTTGATAATGCGTACGAATAATGTGTTTAACATTTTGTATCACAGGATTAAGTGAGGAAAGCATCATCAATCTGGGAGGGGTGACAGAATATCCAGTTTATGTATAAATTCGAAAATTCTACTAAATATATAAATATCTCTTTTCTTTTTATATTTTTTCCTACTTTCTTCTCTTCTTTCTACATTTTTTCTCTAGGCTGTTCTGTTGTATCCTACCACTTTATAAGATTTTCCCCTGAGCTTTCCTTTCCTTATCGAAGTAGTTCCCAAAGATCCAAAGATCGAATATCGAAGATGTAAAGATGGAAGATTGAATATGTATAGATGTAAAGATCGAAGATATAAAAGATAGTGTTGACTTCACTCTTCCCTCCTCCTCCCACCCTTACATATGATTCTTTATTTTCTCAATTTCTCAGAAATTTAGTTTATTCAGTTCTAAAGTTCTATAGACAGGCTGCCATTCCACATTAAGATCTTACTCGAACTCTCGGGTAACATGCAGTGTGTAGTCTTGTTGACTATATATATGTACGATTTGTAAACGTACCATCTGCGGTTCGAATCCGTACCCGCATGAATTTTTTTTCTATGTTTTTTGTCTATTTTCTCTTATCTCTTTCCTCTCAACGTCGAACGCACATATGTCTTCCATCTTTACATCTAACTCAGATCGAAATAAAAATCTTTCATTTTCCCTATCGTTTCTCTCTAGTTATGGCTTCTCTACTTCTAGCAAAAATCACATAGTACCATAGATTTGAGAGATTTTTATTAGATTGTAGAAGGAACGATAAAACAGATTCATCTAGATGCATCAACTTTACATTAGATACATATGTTCTGCCACGTATGCAGACAGTGACGTAGCCTGGATTTTTGGAGTGGGGAGATCGATCCCCCCCTGGCTACGTCACTGTATGCAGATTAAAGAGTTAGTAGAAGATTTAAATAGTAAAACATCAAATTTAAAATTCACTTTTGAATTTCAAAAAGGCAATCAACTACTATTCTTAGATATTTTGATTTAGCTAGATAAAACAAGTAAACAAATAAAAACAAGTTGTTATCTAAAGGAAACAGCGTCAAATTTTCTTTTAAATTTTCATTCAGATCATAACTCACCAATTAAAAATAATATATCCAAAATATGACTAATTCTATTTTAATAGCCAATAATAACGGCCACAAAAACAAAAAAGATTTATATGAGTTGCAAAAACTTTTATAAATTAGTCAATATCCAAAAGTTGTTAAACATTAAATAGATAAGGCAGTTTCGGATAATTAAATAGTGGTAACAATATTAATAATCAGAATAAACCGTGTACCGCAGTAGTTGTCATCTTTCATTTGCACAATGATCCGATTGTATTGCGTATTGAAACAATGAATCTCATTGGAAAGGTAGCATCGATAAATGGATAGAATCAAGATCAGACAGGAGTTACAAAATAACATTCTGAACATAATTCAAATCGCAGCCATTAGAGTAGTCAAAAGAATCACTAAAAAAACTCAAATTTTAGAAAGTCAACAAGCAGTTATACGATTTGACAATGTCAAATATAATTTAAGGCTTCAACCTACAGCTAATTACAAATTCCGAACTACGTTTGCACTATCGATAATTGTACTTATTATTTAACTTTTTGTTTTGCATTTTGTACACGTATTCTTTCGTAAAAATGCGTTCTGACAAATCTGTAGCTAAAAACATTTTCTAATTATGTACTACTATCAAATTAACAATTTGTAAATTTGAACAGTTTTCTCCTACGGCATGGCCTATGTTCTAGCAACATGTTGGTATTGTATGTGCGCAAATACGTACATTTAATTATTTTCTCTGCATAGTGTATTGTTCGTGTCACAGTGTAATTAATGCTTATTTCATAATTTTTTGTTACTAAGCAAGGAATTGGATCGGACTCTGAAACGTATAGGATTTTGTAAATAAATATTACGAGAAAAACGAACAAAAATTATATGATATCTTATGATATTAGAAGAAAAATTATTCACTGCTTCGTATCAAACTATTTCTTACACAATAGTCTATGCCGTTGGTCCAAAACATATGTGTATGTTTATGAATGTCTTATAAGAACCAATAAACACGTCAAACAAAGCCCATTAAAAATCAGATGTTGCCTACCGATTCATTCGGTTGCTTTATTCGGCAGTTTTTCCTCTAGCTTTTATGGAAAACTTAATTTTACGTAAAATCAAAGTACATAATTTGAAAGCTCTGTTTTCGGGCTACAAATTCCATTAAAGCATAATTCAGTAATCTTTAAATAGGATGGATGAAGGAAAAACACCGTTTCTTTAGAGACGTAGCGTCAACACCACTCTGTTTTGGCTTTGTTTCGTCCATATCTTGACAACCAAATGAGATAGAAACTTGTTTTATTCAGTACTGAATAAGCATCTTTAAACAAACAAATCGAAAAAAAAACTATTAAGTTTTGTTCTGTACAACGGTTTTTGTAAGCAGAACAATCGGTGAACAGCAACGGTACAATGCCAATGCAACTCTCTCTTCTATATATATATATATATATATGATTGTTCTTCATATATTTGTGTTACAGGAATGGATACTGTGATACATCTTTTTTTCATTTTTGTGAACAGTTGTCTGTCCGTCACTACACATTTATGGGCAGATTTCAACTGAATCATATCTTTGAAAGTTGATGCTGAACCTGAACATCCACATCTAAAAAGTTGCGTAAACTGAAAAAAATGTTAACTAGTTAATGGTTAACAACTTACCTTACACATTGCCGTAGTTCCGAACCGTTTTTATTTGTTCTTCGTAATGAATATTCATATCTATCAGTAACAAGATGCTTTTTACCACTACTATGATTTTGTATTGAGAATTGCATCGTTTCATGAATCTGAAGTGTCTCCTATCGTTCCTCATCTTCCCGTTATATTGTTTCATAATCAACCTGTCGTTATGGTGCTTTATACTAGATTAGATTACGAATCATTTCGAGTACACGATTTACTTTCCGTTGATTATTAGATAGTATGGTTGCAAAATGGGAAATGGATAATGTTTGAAAAAAAGTACTTACTTACAATTTGAGAAATGATAAAATAATAACAAACAAAATTGCTTGCAAAATGGGCATGAGCCATTCGCTCATGCTGAATCTAACTCCAAATCCACACCATTCGACACAAATTGAATTCGCTTGTTCGCCGCACGATCCCTATTGAAATCGACTGTTTTGCGACAGGATCGTATTTAAATTGCTTATATCGCGGCATGATCTCGGCTTCACAACAAACCATTTCAGGATGATGAATCTGTAATTGTGCCAACTGTTAGAAGCTTTAAAAGGTTTTTGAAATCTACTTTTCATAGTTATTACTGGTTTCCATTCTTTAACTAGAAGAGTCAGAAACATGTCAAGGAGACATGCGCGTATAAAAAGAGGAAGAGAGTTCAAATACTTTCACACAAGAGCATAAAAATTTCGGTGCCCTAGAGAAAGTACTGAGTTCAAGGTACCCATGTACTGAGAAAGCCTCAGCAAGGTACCCGATATGGGTACTTCGAAAATTCTTAGTAATTATACTAATGTAGGTACTGCATTGGGTACCCATAGC